CAAAGCTTCTTGACAAATCTTACGAAGTAGAGAGAAAGGATGAGATGTCCCAGCCGAAGCGTCAGATAGCCGAACGCTGCTACAGATCGTTTTCTGCAGCATAAATCTGCATTCCTCCCCCCTTCTCTCCCTGCGGTAGGCAGTGCCCTCCCGGTGACAGCCTACGACAAGAACGGCTTCCGGATCCTCTTGCACTTTGCCAGGGAGTGCCCTCCGGGGAGGTCGGATGTGCTAGTCGTGGTGGTCTCGATGCTGAACACGGCACCGCTTCCCGTGAGGAACATCGTGCTGCAGGCGGCTGTGCCGAAGGTAGGGGGGTGTGGCTCAGCCCCACGGCGACGGGAGGCAGCGTGATCGGGAAGGCCTGGCTATGAACTTGGGGACTTGGGACAGCCTGGTTCTACTCTTCTGTAGGCCGTGCTCTGCCTGTTTCCAAAACATAAAGCTGGTTGTCAGAGGCAGAAAACATTGAGTAGGGTAAGTCAAGAACTGCAGGTAGTTAGTGTTCTGCTTTTCTTTCTATCTAAGATCAGTGCAGCTGTCTCTGTTCACAAAGGTGGCTCAGATAGCACAGCGACAGGACTGTTGCATGGACACGGCAACCCTTGAGGTCTTCAGAATCAGTCTTTCTAGCAGACATCCTGAATCTGACAATATGTTCCATTCTAGTCTTACTGCACTTAGATAATTTTGGATGGCCAATTTTGCATCTTGAAAACTGGCCCAATCTCAGCTGTGATCTGCCTACTGTTGTGAAGGTGTTTGCATCAGAACATCTGACATAAGAGCGCTCAGATAGGAAGATGCTGTTGGTGTTCACCTGACTTTTACTCTGGGCTGACTTGTCAGTCTACCTGTTCTGTCATGTTGCACAAGCTGGGCTGGCTCTTGGTTCCTCATCCTCACATGTGGGTTGATTCTTTTCAGTTTGGATGTGTGCTGTTATCTCCCCAGCCTGTGCATGCATCTTTCATTGTCCCCAAGGTAGGAGGTAATCCCTGAGGTTCCACTTTCTTTTTCCTTTGCAGTCCATGAAAGTGAAGTTACAACCACCCTCTGGCACAGAGCTGTCTCCATTCAATCCCGTCCAGCCGCCTGCTGCCATCACCCAAGTCATGCTTCTGGCAAATCCTGCGAAGGTGAGAGGGGTGGTGGGGTTTATCCTGTCCTTGTCAGACAAATTTGATGTAAGCTGAATTCTGCAGGGGGGGGTTGGACCAAACATTTGAGCAGATAAAATCGTTCGTTCCTAACTTGCCCTCCAGAAGTGGTTACTGCATAACATTCATGTTTCAGTTCAGGGCTAGAGGAAGGCTCTTCCCCAACTGACTTTGTCAGCAAGGAAAGGTATGAGAAGGACCGGTACAGTTCTCCGAGCAAAAGGGCAACAGTCATATAAGACTCAGCTTTAAAGGGCAGCGGTCAAAGCTGTGTCAGGAGTTTTTCTGACTCCCTTGTGCACTGGAAGCACCTGGCTTTGGTGATAATTTGATGTCAAATTAGCTGGTGCTGTAGAAATACTTTTGCTGTTAAGGCTATAACCTGACAGACCTGAACCAATAGACAAAGGTCAGACCATGTCTGTTTCATTATTCTTTGAGGATGTACCTGCGACCAGTGAGACAACATGGTTAACTCTTTTCTGCTGAACGTGCTGGGAGCACCTGAGCAGCTGTCTGCCTTTACTGTAGCAACTCATTTAAGTAGCCTGCTCCATAAAGCTCAAAGCTTTCCAATTATTTGACAAATCTAGATGTTACTACTTGAGAATTACAGCAAAAGGGTCCTTAACGTATCAGCTGAAAGCTTTGAGATTCAAAAGGAGAAATGTCAGAGGGTTTGGTGGATTGTTGAAAAGCTTTGTAGGTACATGGAGATCCCGTCATGGAAGGACTGGTTCCATCTCCTGCTGACTGTTTTACTAGGAATTTTGCAGAGCAGGAACTGTTTTATCTTCTTCCACATGATGAGGAATTTAATTTTGAAAATGTTGAACTATTCCAGCAGCATTCTTCAGGCTCATTGGTGCAAACTATTATCACAGGCCATTCATGCTTTTCTCCTACTAAGCTTTTGTGGTATGAAAACTGTGAGGTAAATAACTTGGGTTTGCTAAAAAGCTGAACCTACTCTGTGAACTTAACCTTGGCCCCTTTCCCGCTGCTGTGTGCAACTCTGTAGAGCTGTAACAGTGAAATGTTTTGTTCGGGAGCAACCAGGACTGTTCTCATGTTGCTCTTGGGTTTTGTCTTTCCTGCAGGAGAAGGTGAGGCTGAGATACAGACTGACCTTCACACTGGGAGACCAGCCCAGCACAGAAGTTGGTGAAGTGGATCAGTTCCCCCCGGTAGAGCAGTGGGGGAGTCTATGACCCTAGGACACTGCCAGAGACTCTGACAGGACCAGGAAAGGATCCCACAGGCCTGGAATGAATGTGACGTGGGGAGGGACACACATGTTATCCACTGGTGATGTTCAGCTTTGTTTACATGTCCTGACCACTCTGCTTGTAGCTTTAGTCCAGAATGTTTTGCCCCACATTGAAGGGGTCCTGGAACATTTATGCCAAGCGTGAACTGAGTGGCAGCCAGTAACAGACAGAGCTGGCTGCTTTTATCTTGACCTCTGGGTGAATCTGGTTCTATCTTCCACTCTATTAAACTTGAAGTTATTGTATTTTGAGGGGAGACCTGTCAGCAGAAGGGGATTTAGTTGGCTTGTTCCTGTACAGCTGTCCAGAGATACCTGCAGGCTGGTGGGGTGATGATGCCACCATGAGCTTCCTCAGTGCAGAGCCCTTACACGTGCCCTCCCTCGGACTTTTTACCTCCTCAGTGCCAGACCGGACCCGCGAAGCATGGTGAGCAATAATGCTGGCTCCGTGAGGGACTGCTTATTTTTTACACTGAAATGGCACTTAGCTCCCTTCCTCTCCCGCCGCTGCTTCGTTCCCAACAGCTGCTGTAAGGAGACCCTTGCTCTGTGTTGTGGACACTGCTGCATCTTTAGTTGTTATATTTATTTTACACTGCCGGCTGTCTCCCCGTTGTATCCCTCTGGGGCAGCTGGAGCTGAGGTTTGTATGCAAATAGTCACACTGGTTACTTTTCTGCCTTCGTTGCATTCCGCAGTGTGGGGAGAAGAGGAAAGGTGTAGTGAGGAGGTAAAGGGGGCTGGAAAGGAGCGGTCAATGTTGGTGGAGGACAGCGCCTGGAGTGCAGAAATGTCTTTACAATCACTAATCAGGTACAGTGACTGAATCCAGGGATAAGGAGAGATGCTTCTCGTGTCCCTTCATGCAGGCAGTATTATTATTGTAGTCGAATACTGTGTTTTATTCAGATGAGTACAATGACATACAAGATGTAAATAATAGAGCTCTAGGATATCTCAATAGGAACAAGCAGACAGTGAAAGGAAAGAAGGCTCCGCTGGGCTGTGACGATGCATGTGCTGGGTTTAATGCCCTGTTTTATTTGTTCCCTGTACAAAGTGGCGAAGTGCAATTGTCTCCAAGGGGAAAGCAGTTTTGCTGGACATCTGTGTTCTGTGCTAACAGGGGCCAGAACTGACACCTCCAGCTACAGTCTCACAGAAACTGGGTTTAGATCACTTGAACTTGATTCTAACAGTCCCTTCCTTCTCCCTCTTGATTTCCAATCTCAAGCAGTGCCTCAGCTAGCTTTGAGACACACTGTTTTAAATTAACCGTTTTTTCTAACATCCCTTGACAGAAGCACAGATAGGGTGGGTCTTTGGACACTAAGCTCAGCAATTCTAGCAGTGCTGGCAAGCAACAGCTACCCCCAAGCTGTGAGTGGGAGCTGTCAGCTAAAACACTGAGAAAAACAGTGCACAGGAGGAGACCCCTGCCTGCTGTAGGAAAAATTAATGGTGGCTATAAACCCCATTACTGCACACGCAGCTTGGAGTTAGTTGTAGTTGACTTTTCTTTACTGATACAAAGTAAAAAGCACTAGAGGTGAAAAACTCAGCTGATTGGAAGGCCTGATGTCCTAATCAGAGGGGGCTGGAGGCAGTTGTAGAAGCCCCTGAAAGTGGCATCAGAGCTTGGCTGAGGAACTTGCTGTAACCTCTTTGTCTGAAGGTCATGAGGACCCAGCCTTGTCAGCTCCGTGATGTGGCAGGCAGGCGAGCGGGATGGGCACGCTGTGTGGATCCTTAGAGCAGTTTTAAATGGGTGGACTAGGATAGGGGACAAGGAGAGAATTCTTTCTGCCTCAGACATGTTCTTGCCAGCACTTTAGACACAGTAGGCATGGGGGCAGTGCTTAGGTCACGGTGGCGTGTCCTGAGGAAGCAGGTTCCACTGCCTCAGATGCCTACACGTGAATCTCACTGTGACTCGGAAGGCAGGAGAGCACAAGTGCTTTCTGCAGAGCAGCTTTGTTCTCAGTGTTAACGGCAGCGCGCTGCCTGCGCTGTACAGCCAAATGGAAAGATGCTGTAGTCTCGCTGCGTGGAAGTGTGTTGTTAAAAGCTTTGGAAATTAAACTATGAATGTTCCTTGTCTGTAGGGTGAGGTTCCTGCTTCATACCGAACAGCCGTAACTGTATATACATCTCAAATGCATTTGTTCTGCTGCATGGTAAATAAATTGTTTTCCCTACTTTGCTCTGTGGATAGCCCTTACTAATGACTGCTTATGGAGTTCAGTGCTGTTTCTAGAAATCCAAAAACTCAGCCCATCATCTCAAGACCATCCAAACTAAGCAAAAACTGAGAAGTTGCTGTTTTCTAAAACCCCCCATGGTTTACAAGGTGGGCTTAACTTCAGTTCTGGGTGTTAGAAGTAAAGCAACTGCCAAAGCCAAGGTCATGCTGCCCCTGGTGATGAGGTTCACTTTGCCAGGAGAGGGTTGCCAGGCCAAGCTGGAACAAGGAACCTTAACATTTTCATGCAGCAACTTCTTGCAAGTTACGCTTACATGTTTTAAAGTTATGTTTATGGAAGACAAGAACAAATAACCAAGCAATATGCAAAACAAGACATTTATTCTTAGAAAAGCAGTCAGGTTTATGTACAGTGAACCACAGAGGAAGAGTAAGGTCACATACTGCTGTCTTCAGGATCCTTCCAATGTGCCTTCTTTGACGATGACTCGTGCAAGATTTCGTGCAAGAGCAAGTCTCAGCATTTCCACTTTCGTAATCTCAACGTCATCATCCTAAAAGCGAGCAGAGTTTGGGTTAGATGGCTACACACCATTAGTTAGATGATGATGGGTTCTCTGCGTTTTGGGAAGGATGCAGGTCATTGAAAGGAAGAGTTAGGTGTATATTTACCTGTTACAGGGACCTCCTGAGAAGAGCAAAAGCTACATTTCCTACTCTTTAGATCAGCACTGCCAAAGCCTTTTCTTTCTCTGGCAGCTGCAGAGGTTTGCATGTGCAGCACATGGCTCCCTGTTCTGTGCCTGGAACGCTTCCTGGCTGGAGCTGTTAGATGGCAGCATCTCAGCTTTTCATTGCCCATGTAATTTTCAATTATTTCTCTTGGAAAAGCATCACAGTCCAGTCCAAATCAGCAGAACAGTGAGGAGCAGAAGTACTCCTGTACTGGTTTTGCATGTACTTAGCTACCTGTCAGTGAGGCCTCATTTGGTTGGCCTTTAAAAATAACACCATATCCAACCTTGGTAACTCAGCCTCTCCCTCTTTTCTGCCCCCACCCAGGCACATAAAGGCGGAGTTCGCTTTCCCCAGCCCTCCCCACCACCCCACCCATTCATTATCCCCTTGTCCTCAAAACAGGAGCTACCTGGAACTGCTGCTTAGCTGACTTCCCTGCTGTCAGGTCTTCCAGGCATCGCATCAATTCGTAAGTCTGCTCTGCTGAAAATATGACCTGGGGAAATAAAGGTACTTAGTGAAAATGATCAAGTTCAAGGACATCACAAAGTCTGGTGATTCAGCTGAGAGGAGGAGAAACCTTTCACGCTCCCACAGATCCATCCTGACCCTTTAAATCACAGGATCAGAGGATAAGGGGGGCTGGAGGTGACTTTGGGAGGTCTCTAGTGCCACCTCCTGTGCAAAGCGGGGTCAGCCATGAGGTGAGAGCAGGTGCTCTGGGTTTATCCAGCCATGGGTCTGTAATTGCCAACCAGTCATTTTCCTAATGGATCTTAAAGAAAAATTGGGCTTAGAAGGAAGCACACTAGAGAAATCTTCCAGCCAAGCACCAGAAGGAAGTGGAGGCAGTGTGTATTTCAATCATCAACATATATGTATTTCTGTTCTCTAAAAGCAGGGAACCAAGGCAAGAGTCGATTATCCCACCCTGGATACCCCGTGTGCTCCCGCTGACGGGACACTCGGATACCTGCGCAGGTCTGGAACTGCCACAAGCAGTTCTTTGGCACTGGAAGTGCAAGCGCGAGCCTGGGGGCAGGAAGGGGGTCTCCGCTTTGAGATACCGTGTCGTGTCGGGAAGAAAAGAAAGGGTGTGGGGGGCTCTTTGTCATGTGTGACCAGCGTGCTCACCTCTTTCTGCTCCAGCAGGGGAAGGGCGTCTGTCAGCAGGGTCATCCAGAAGGAGCAAGGAGCAATGTGAGCCGTCATCAACATCAGGAGCAACTTGGCAGCTTCAGGGAACCGCTTCTCCCCGTACAGCCGGTGGAATTCTCGGTACTTGCCTACACACGGGTGTTGGTGAAGGGTGAAAGGTGTCAGTGTGCGTCAGACTGGCTCAGGCCTGGGCTACTGGATGTTGGGAGGTCCCTTTGCTCCCGTGAAGCCTGTGGCAGAACCAGCCCCACCTGAAATGAGTCTCCAAAGCAGCTGAGTCTGGGGGAAGGGGAATCTTGGGCATGAAGAAACGTTAAAATAGAGGCTGGCTGAAGAGGCAGCCAAAAACCTGTTACTGCTCTTGGTAGGGTTTACTGTTGCATCTAGCGTGCTTGCTAAGCAATAGTGTCTGGTGCTGAGTGTTTGCAGGGTGAGCACGAGGGGCTTAGCGAGCCTGGTGGAGTCTGCAAAAACCAGGAACGGGACGGGGCGGGCGGGGGGTGAATGTTCTTTTTGATACATAGAATATCAGGAGGTCTGAAAGGCCTCACTGTCTTCCTGACTGCTTAAATGGAAACTGAGATCTTTGTTCATGTGGAAAGTTCTGCTTTTGCTAAGAATTAGTTGGATCAACATCCAGCACGTGAGAACTGGCTGAGGATGAGAGTTTTATTCTGCAGCTTTGTATCCACTAAACTGTCAAAATACTGGAAATTATGATTCCCATTCAGATTCAAGTTTGACAAATGCTTGAGCTCAAGCCAGAGACATGTGAAAGTTGTCCAGCAAAGGCACACCTGATGTTTCTAAAACCTCCAAAGGAAAAACAAGCAGAAATATAAAAAGCAGAAAGGGAGGTAATTTCTCCACTAACACAGTTTATAAACACAGTTACACAATTAAAGTACAACCCTTTGGGGCTAATGCCAGGGTCACTGGGTGACCCTGGGCATAGGGAGATATGAGGGATTACCAGTTTGGTAAATCACAGTTAGCTTCTAGGCTTAATCTAGGTTAAGGTTTAAGTGAAGGAAATACAATTCCAGTTTTACAAGCCTGGACCAAGTGGGAACAGATCAAATTCAGGATCACCCTCACTGTAATGCTGGTGTCAGCCAGAGGGGAGTCAGTCCAATTGCCAACAGCTATTCCAAATTCCTATTAGATTTTGGCTCCCATAGTTGGGCTTGCTAATGGCCACAGCTCCAGAGAAAGGTGCGTTTTAGCTGAATTTCCTGTCTTGGTCCATTAATCAAAAAGGCTGAAGAGCAGCTGCAGCCAGATGGACAGGTTACCACAGCCCATGCTTGTGCCAGCCAGAGGGAAGCTGTGGTATGTAAAGGAAACAAGCTGGAGGCCCTCAGCTGTTACCTGGCACAACTGCCATAGCAAAGGGGTAGGAGAGAGCTTTTGTTTGAGTGAGCTTGAAATTGGCACACTGAACCAACAAAAGCTGTTGAGATTCTGGAGAACTTCATGAAGGTAGTAAAATTATCACATTGCCAAAGTAACTGCAACCAGTGGTTTACTCTTCTACGGAAGCCCCCTAAGTCTTCCAGACTGCATTTGTTAATATTTCAAAGTCCCTGTAGGTAGTGATACAGTCTGGGAAAAGACAAAGAAAGCAGAAGCATACAAATGTCAGAGTTGAAGACTATCCTGCTGAAAGCAATGCAGAACAGATGCCCACTGCAAGTGCAATTGGAAATGCAGTCTCCCAGTAGCAAGCAGGCTACATCCCAAATCACCTTCAGTCATCTGCTTTCCCCTCATCACCAATGGCCAAATGGAGGAAGAGACAAATCCAAATAATTCTGTGGAGTCAACTATGTTCTACATAACAGACCAGAATAAAAACTGTAGACACTTCTCACCAAGAAACGTTAGCCGGTCACTAAGCAGCATGGACGGTCCCAAATTATCAATGAGGTCCAAGTCAGAGAAGCACCCCCTTTCACAATAGTCTTTAAGGAACCTAGGGAGAAAGTAAAACACAATAAAAGCTTAGAGGGGAGAACATCATCCACATTCATTTTGCATCTCCTAATCCCTTCCCAGAAAACTTTACTATACAACTGTGTTCCATCTTAATCCACCTCCTGTGAGGGATTCAGAGACATCAGAACATTTCCTGGGAGTGGCCAATGAACTGGTGTAATGTGTGTTTAACAGACACCTGATTTGTTCTTCTAGATGTTGTGGTTGTCGAGATCTATTCTTTAAAAGGAGTAAGTGGAGGAAGGAGCACAGGAAGCTGAGGCTGGTGGATGCATAAATAACACTCCCAGATCATAACAAAAGCTCTATTTTTCTGCTGTGTGAAAAAGTTGATAAGCAGTAGGAACAAAAAAACAATTCTAAAAGCTTTTCATCTGTTTGGTCACAGCCTTCATTATGCTGCTTTTATCCACGCTGCTTCCTGTGATGGTTTTCTTTCACCTTCTGTTGAAAGAAATATAATGATTCCCACTCCCTCAAAGAACAAATGAAAAAAACCTCAGCAACCTCTTACTACTCACTTTTTTTAACTGCTGAAGGCGGAGTACTGCCTGGCCATCTACCCAGAGTGTAATTTCAATATTATACTCTTAACTGTGCAAAGAGATTGGTACCTACCCATTTCCAATTGGCAAAAAAATACATGACACAGATTGCTAGAGATTAAAAAGCATAAAGAGAGTTGCCTTATCTTTTGTCTAGGCCCAAGCTAAGTGTTAGCATCCTCTTCAATTTTATAACAACTTTCCCTCCCCTGCAAGGTCAGATACTGTGACAAGCTTATGCAAAACCAGGGATGTGATATAACTTTACTCTTTGTTACACGTTACGTGCTTGAGATTTTTTGCAGAAATAGTGGCTTAAGTGGCTCTCACTGATTTATTTGGAGACTGCATGGTGAACTAGACTGGTTAAAAATAACCTGAATAAAGCACAGAAGGGGATAATCTGATTTCACTCAGATCAGTTCCCTGGTTCGCTCTACAGCCCCTTGAACAAGGGGCAAGTGAAAGGGCAGTGCCTACGAGATACTGCTGAAATAAATGTTTATCAAAGCAAGATCTAGGAGGGTTGAACCGTTAGATAAAGCCAATCTGTTTCACCTCGAGATTTCATGAAGTAAAACGGTGTAGAAAAGTAACAGCTAGGGTGCTGCAGATGAGAGTACCCGGGGATGAGACCTTCTGGTGCAGAAGCAGGTACCTGGTCTGAGGGAAAGACAATCCCCAGGTGCCGGCAGCAGAACCTCTTCTGGTCCCTGGCAGCACGGCTGCCTCCTCCCCTTCCTACCACCCCACGGCAGCCCTCCTCTGAAGCTGCCGATTCAGACTCACCGGTCGGATATCAGCGTAGCGAAAGCCGCGTCCTTCGCTCTGATGCTCCACGACAGGGCAGACCCCAAGCGATTATTCCGCAGAGCCTTCATGGCCATGATTTTACAGATGCTACGAACTTCAGAGAAAACATAGGAGAAGAGGGAAAGAGTTAGTTTCAGTAGTTTCGCTTGTATCACAATGTAGTTTCGCTTGTAAAACAATGAGATTTAAAAATCAATCACCTTGCTCATGCATCTGTCTCTGCTCACAGATCCTCAGCACTTTGAGGGCCTTCTGTTCTGTGTTAAGGGGTACCCGCTCAATATGAAGCTCCAAATATACCCTGCCGTATTCTGGACAGTGGTCAAAGTAATCTACCCCCAGCTGCCACAGGCTGAGAGGGGAAAAAAAAAAAAAATCATCAAGCATTCCGGTCATATAAATTTTAAATAGGTGCAACTGTAAAGCCACAAGGAGAATCTGAGTCTGCATTAATAACAGTTGGCTCTGATTTAACTTAGTTTTAAGAACTAAAACGGCTTTTACTTTCTACCAAATACCAGCTGCCTATTATACAACTTTAGGTTACCTGCATCTCACGAGTGCTTTGGTGCAAGTTGCTCTGTACCAAAAAAGCCACCGTGGCAGGAGTAGTTCTACCCTGGTCAATATGTTTGACGGGTTCCAATAGACAGCTTTTGTCTCTCAGTCAGGAAAGGAAACGTGCTAGTGTTGTACGATCCCTTACGGACACCTTTGCCGAAATCCTAACGGTGGCTTCTCTAAGTTTTGCCTTTTTACTTCATTAACATGTAGTTATTTGTTTTGGCTGCTTTGACGTTAGTCTATCCTCTGAGTTAAAAAAAAAAAAAGTTGCTACCTGTGATGGGAGAAGAGTCCTGAGGCATACTCTAGCAGAAGGAATTCACGCATATTTGAACCAAAGCTGGGAAGGGGAAGGAGAAAAGAACCAGGCATTATTATTTGCACCTCATTGGAAAGATCTGCTGACTTTATTTCAGAAGTGCTTTTAATTTATGCAACGTGTTTTCTCATGGGCTATCTTAATAAGCTTTGTACCTCAGGCCTAAGCATGTAGGTCAGCTTTCTCCTTGGGGAGACCTGCCAAATATTTACAGCACTTAGTGAATATAACCGAGAAAATGCTTTAAGATTCTAAAACTTCAAGGGAATTCAGATAGCAAAATTCAATTGCTCAAATTTATTCAGAACATAAGTACAGAAATTCTTTTTAAATTAGTCTCTCACCATTTCCAATTGTCACAAATATCTGGGCCCTTGACTGTATTTCAGATAAAATTATACTTAAAAAAAAAAAATCCTGATGCTGTACTGGGGCACTGCTGGACAGCACATCAAATTCATCAGGCCAGTAACTGCTTCTGCTTCTCAGAGCATCCGGGCTGCCTGTAACTTGAGGCACATGCAGCACCTTTATTCTCCATCTTGTGTAAATGCCCAAAATGCTCCTTTTCAACCAAAATCTACATACTGGTTCAGTCATCCTTGCTTTGGGGTGTCTGAATTATCAATGTAAATGAATACTTACTAGAGATTGTGAGACTGGAGGAGTTTACAGTGATCCAATAGGTCAGTCAGATGCGCCACAAACCACCAGTTGCTCAGGGCAATGCTGTATTTGAAGTAAGCAAAAGAAAGAAAAAAATAAGCCTCCCACTCCCAAGGAATGTGTCAGGCTTCCCACAGCCACTTCTCACCGATACAGAAGCTATATTACAGTCTAATGTCTGGTTGGAATGTCCCAGACCTAATGGAATACTTTTAGTTCCTGCCTGTTTCACATATTTTCGCTAAATTATTTGAAAGGATGATCAGGTGGGCTGTACCCATATCCTCTACCCCAAATACTACTGGAGTGCATGCACACAGAGGCAACACTGGAGAAGAGTAAATCAAAAACCTGGAAACTCGACCTGCATTCCTTGATCACTTGATGCATCTCAAACTCAAAGGCTGCCATTAAAATCGTGTCTAGAGGCTCAGGGCTGCTTTCTCCACCCAGGAACAGGTCCATACTGGACTGGAATAAGATTACAAGACGTGATAAATGCAGAAGTTGTGAGATGGTAAAAGGAAGACATTTGTTTGGTTGTAGAAACCTCCTTTAGATTATTTTATGGGAAAGAGTATGTCAGAGACTGAACACATTTAACCAAAAAGATTTTGCCTTCTTTTAGCATAAGGGAACTGGGAAAACAATTTGCAGGAACAAGACTGGTACCACAAGACACTGAGGAGAGTTGGTCTTCAACAGTTATTTGTCCACTGTATCAGTCTCCCAGTGCACCTACAAATTCTAAGAAATGTCTCAGTTACATAGTTGCTGTAAGATGTCAACCCTCCCAAACTTTTTCTTTAAATGCAGTAACCCTTGTGTGCATGCAACGGTGAATATAAAAATAATTCTATTTCATGCCTGTGCATAAAACCGCAGTTCCACTGGCTTCACAGTTGGATGGGAATACAGGAGTCGGGTAACCAGAAAGTGGTACCAAGTTGTCATGAGTTCCTTCTTCTCCAGTATGGCATCCTCATCTCCCAGCAGGATCTAGTGGGAAAAAAACATAGAAGTAATTCTACAAATTCAGCAATGTATATAGCTGCATCGTAACTCTTCAGAGGCATCGCTCCCATTTTGCAAAGCTGAGGATTTAATCAAAATTAAATAACAAAAGACAGAGATCCTTCTCAGAGCCCAGTTTTATCATCAGCCTTATGGCTTGGACATGAAGAGAAAACAATCCGCCCAGGCTTTGAAAGGCTGTTGCAAAACAAAGAACACAGTACAGAAGACTGGCTGAAATCTGAAGTAATGAACAGATCATCCAGATTAAAGTTACTTATGGCTACACAGGGCTCCTGAAATACACAAGGATGGATCCAGTACCCGTCCACTTTCCTTCCTTCCCAGCAAAAACACACCTTGCAGATGGATTCCATGTGGGAATTGGAAGCAAAAGTTCCATCCTGCAGATACCGCTGACATTCTTCATGCCAGTGCTGCCATTTTAACTCCATCTCGGTGAGTGTCTGAGTGTTGCCAAGCTGCACAGAGGATAAGATATATAAAATAAACACTGAGTCAAATCGTAACAGGCCCTCTGCCTGAACTCACAGTCATTTGGTCTAAAAAGCTAGACACAGGGCTGCCATCAATTTTTTCCTTGCTCTATAGCTGCATTTGAAGTGTCTGTCTTTAGCCATCTCAATAAGGCAAAGGACCTTAGGAGGGTTCCATGAAAGATTACTGTGATGCAGCTGCAGTTTTTCCTCCACAAGGAGAACACTGCAACAGAGGGGACACTGCTGGCAAAGTCTTCAAAAAATACCCTGTACAAGAGACTAGTTCTCAACAGGAACTGTTTCAGACAGCTGGATAATGTATCCTGCTACAAAAATTATCCTTCTGTGTTGGTTTGTCACCTAACAGGTTTTTGCCTGTATGGTTGGGTCTTCTGGGCAATCCAAGAACAGAAATATTATTGCTGTGAAAGATTAAGAGTGAGTTTTAATGGTCAACAAATTGTGATGTTAGGAGCCACAGCAGAGATGAAATAGACTGGACTGTCATCCTTCTTATTCTTTTCCCAACGTAACTGCAGGAAAAAAATCCACTTTGTACATACACTGGGCACAGGCATCTTCTTCATCAAGTCATCCAAGATCTTGTACATGTTCACCGATGTGGGATTGGCACTGGCTTCCTTGGAGAGCAAGTGCCGTGCTTCATCCATTCGGCCTTGCAGCACAAAGACATCCACCTGCAAAAACCACCTGTGAGCACCTCACTGTGAGGCTGCAAAATACCCAGGAGCAGTACCAGAGGGGAATTTTAACTTGTGATTTAGGCAAGTTAAGTGGAGTTAAAATGCTTAAACTGTAGGCCCTGCTAATTCAAGTACACAGTGTAAGTCTTGACCTCTACAGAGCATGAAAGCAAAAGGATCAGGATGGGAATGAGGGGCAGGATGATCTTCAGAATAGCTTCTTCTTACAACTTATACAGGCAGACAGCAGTGTGCTAGGTATCAGTTTCTGAGATGTAGTCTAGTGTCGAGTAGGGAGGAGGAAGGCAAAACACATAGGCATGAATTCTCTTTGTTTAAGAATCTTCTAAGGGACTATACTCGCCACGTTCCAGAAGAGCTCGTGTTTCGATGGATTTTCACTGCTCAGAACTTCACGGACCATGTTGTCCACATCACAGACATGAAGTCGAACCCAGTCAAGGAGCCGAAGCAGAAGGGGACCAGCTTTATGCAGAGAAGATTTCATTCTGTTAGTTCCCAAACTGCTATTTTACACGCTTCTAACCTTCATGGTTTGACAATCATTAGATGAGGTTTACTGATTGGCTTTCTATTTGCCACACTCAAATTACAAAGGAATGGAGTTCGTTAGGTAGCCAGGCTGTGGGAGCACCAGGCTGCTGACAGATTTCTGTGTGGCAAATTTTAGACAGAACAGCAGTAGAGTCTGGCAGAAAACCCTAACAAATTACATGAGGAAATAAAAGGCAAGTGATTCAGATCATAAATCTTGCAGTGCCAAAAGACACAGAGAATGTTTCTGTTTAATTTAGCATCAACTCGTTATTATTAACTGAATATCAGGAATAAATCTGTAGATTAAGTAATCTACAACTTGTGAATCTCTCTTCTAAATTCTGGGACTGTGCAAGTAGCATATTTATTTGCATAATCCAATTTTCTTATAAAAGTATTTACTAATATAAAATGCTGGTGCAAAACTGACTTTAAAAATGGCATCCTAAAGATAAAGGAGTTGCATCAAAGAATGTGTAAATGTTAGTTGGCATCAACATATTTAATGCTTAAAGATGTGCTTATGTTTAAAAGTCAAATAAATTGGCAACTTTTGATATCCCTCTTCGCCACTACCTTTCTGTTAAAAAGACAATTTAAATTGTAGTGATCTACACAAGGGGGAAAAGTAGAAGGCAAATCTAATAGCTTGACATAATTAAATATGAAGAAGGCAATTTACTGAGGCAGAAGTAGTATTAAAAGGCTTGTTGACACTTGTCATATCTCTAAAACATATTCAAATATGATACAATAGACACGATACACATATTAAACAAGTATGTAAATAAAAAGTCCTTCAGTCTTAACATCAGAATAGTTCACTGCTCACCTGCAGCTGCTTCAACAAACAGAATCTCACACAGGTTCCAGATCAGCTCCATTGCAGAGAGAATAGAAACCTGAAAAAAGCAGGGCCATGCTTCAGATTTAGTAAGTATTCCAGTTAAGAGCGTTTTTTTTTTTTAATCACACAAAGGCATCTGCTGTCCATAGCAATCAGCTGAGCTTGGTTCTTACAGACAAGAGAAATGTCGCACTGACATTTCAGAGATACAAATTAAGACAGAAACAGGCTGCAACTTCTCTACACACATTCAGCTTAGAAAATATTGAAGCTGTTTGTATACTAAAACAACACGATAATTTGTCATCACTGGGCAATACTAAATAGTACAGAAGGTGCTCTTTTCAGTCTTTTAGCACTCCTAAGATTTAACAACACAAATGGTAAACGAAGAAGGAAAGGCCAATGACACAGCATCAGTGCATCTAATAGGACAAAACTACTGCGAGCAACCTGCTCTTCCCATAACGTTCTTCTAGTGTCTGACAGTTCACAGTGAGCACCCAGAGCTTGCTACGAGGCTCAGATGCAGCTGGCTTTAGGATGACAAGAAAACATCGCACCTATAACACTGAATATATGTTTAATAAATGGCAGTGAATCCAGATGTTGGGCTTCTTTTCATTGTTTGAGAAATACAGGAGCTAGCTATTTATTTCCATTTATTCTTGGTCACGAAACGCATCCAATATACTAAGCCAGAGTTAAATCTAAAATGCCTTACAGCCACAGTGTCAGCCTTGATGAATTTACTAGCCCATGATTCACGTTCAGTTGTGACTACATGACACGACTGCGGATTACCTGAGTGCTATACTGGCTGTGCAGGGCAGGGTCCCGGGTTGAAACTAAGGGAAGAATAAGGAAAATCAAAGAGCAACATATTTACCTTTCACAGCCCTTTCTGGGCTCATAAATAAAGACAACAATACCTGATCTCTCATCAAGCAGAGACCTAAATAAGTACACACATGGCAAAGCTAACTTTTATATAAAACTTCATAACTTTTTTTTATAAATCCTGTGCAAATCTAGGTATGACTACAGAGCAGGGATAGAAGGGAAGAGTAAAATCTCCCATTCTTTGGGGGCAGCAAGCTGTTAATTTGGACTCAGGTTCACACAAAACCGCAACCTGAGATATGAAAAGACTGCAAGTTCCCAGAAAATCAGTTAAAACACAATAGAGGGGAAAAAAGAAATCTCTGACCAGATTCACAAACCAAGTTGGAAATCTCCCAGATGGGAATCTTAATTATTACTGAAATTATGCATGCTATTTTATGGCAGTTGCAATGACTTATAACTAAAATGATACTTTTATATGCACAAATAGCATTTCCTTTTATTGCAGTAAGAGAACAAACAAACTTACTAGCTGCCTGGTGCATGTCCTCCATACAGGCTCTTATCACCGAACGGTAGTTTTTACTCACTTGAACCAATCTGCCAAACACAAAAAGGCTTTGGTTAGAGAAACCTGTTTGAGTTTTAGTCTCGTGCCTATTGTCCACTAAAGCCTTGCAGGTTTCTCTGCAGCAGAAGGCACTCCCGGTTGTTGGAGGGACCAGGGCTTTGTTTTGTAAAAACCACTGCAAACCAGGCATTTTTTTCTGCACTAAGCAGCCTGGTCAGTGGCATTTGCCCCACGGCGGGCACGGACGAGCGCTTGCCCGGCCGGAGAAGCCGCAGCGCCGGCGGGTGTTCCGCGCCCCCCACCCCACTCACTGCGCTTTCCTCGACTTCCCCGCCAGCTCCTCCTCGCTGCGCTGGAGGCCGATGAAGATCCCGTGCGACTCGTTGAAGAGTTTCCGCAAGGTCTGGATGTAGATGTCCTGATCCTTGCGGACCACGAAAACGCGGGAGGGGCTCGGCCCTCCCTCCCCGGTGCCTGTAACACACCCGGTCAGCTCCCCGGGCGGCGGCGCCCGGCGCGGCCCGGCCCCGGGGGCGGGGGTCTCACCTCTGCGGCCGAAGAGGGTCTCGCACACCAGCACCTCGGCGGGGCCCCAGGCGAAGCACAGCTGCCTGGCGGACGGGTCCGCGCCCGGCACCACCTGTGAGGGGACGGCGGCCCGTCAGAGGCGCCCGCGCCCGCCCCGCGCCCGCCCGGCCCGGCCCGGCCCCTCACCATCAGCGGCGGCTCCGCGTCCGGCTCCTCCATGGCGGCGGCCGCGCTCCCCTCCCGCCTCCCGCCTCCCGCCCGCAGGCCCCGCCGCGGCTGCCCTCGCCGCTGCCTGCGCCGCCGCCCGCCCAGCCGCGGAGCCCCGCCGCCGCTTCCCCGCCGCGCTGCCGGTTCGAGCGGAGACGCCGGCCGGTGGAAGGCGAGCGGTGGGGCCGCGCCCGTTCCAGGCAGGCGCCGGGCTGCTCGCCCCGGAAGCGCCGCTGGCTCCAAAGGGCCCCGCCGCCGCCGGCGCTCGGAGGGGCCGGGCCCCGCTCCGCTCCCGGGGGGAGCCGCCGGGCCGGGCCTCCGGAGCCCCGTCAGGCCGTCTGGGAGCGGCGGGTGCCCGGGGGCTGCCCCGCCGAACCTCGCCCCCGGCTCGCAGGGCCGGCGGCGGGAAGGAGGCCGCCCCGTCTCCATCGGCTTCGTTTTTCTGGTCCCGGCGGTTTGAGCGCTGCGTGGATGCGGCGCTGGCTCCGGGGGCGCGGTGATTCAGTTGGTCGGTCAACACTGTCATCGCGCTCACTTCGTTGACTTGATTGCCGTGTAATACCAGGTTCCCTTATTTCTTTACACGCTTCAAACGCTTGCGGAGAGATGAGCCTCCAGGTTGTTGAAGGTGACATACTCTGGAGTAGAGTTGCTGGAGCTCTCGGCAAGCTCATTGATAAAGCCGAATAATCAAATTATGTGCTTTATGACTTCCCTGGGTTGCCTGCAGGTTGGAGAAGGACTCGTAACGAAGCATTAGATCGATCACAGCAGGTTGGGGAGATGTGCTGGCAGGTGTCAGGAAGAACTCTTCTCTGCCTTACTTAACTCAGGATCAGGAGATTTTTTTCCTTCCTCTGCCTGGCAGGGGCCAGGGTGGAAGTTAAGACCCCTGGAGACTGGGCAGAGTTTACCCGCTGGAGACTGCCCCATCAGCTTTCTGTGAACTGAACTCTGGGAGGTCACGTACCAATGGAATTGGAACTTCAGTATCTGTTAATAACTTGGTGTGATAAAGCACTAACCACACGCAGCTCCTTTCCTTCCATTCTGCTCTCCTTCCCATCTCTGCATACTCCTCACTTTTGCCTGTTCCTCTCAATAAAAAACTCGTTCAATGATCCACTTTTTAAGAAAAATACTAGCAATGCTGTCTTGCAGAACTCACAGCTGGAAGAAGCCAGTCCCTCCAGGCTGCTGCTTTTCAGAAAAGCTCACTAAAAATTAATTTTTCAAGGCGGCTTAAATTATTCGCTGTCCTCCTATAACAAATGCTGCAACACTCCACTGCTAAATTGCCTTTTAACTTTATTGGCTACTGCATCCATCATTTCCAATAAAAATAAAGCTAGCAGTTATCTTTGGTAAGAGCATGTTGTGACACCGATTGTGCTGAGAAAAGGGAGTGGTGTCTATTCAGGTCAGTTGGGAGGAATGGCTTGTTGCAGGGTAGAAGAACTTAAAATAAATCTTCTGAAACCTGCTTGAGAAACTAAGACTCATCAGTTTTAAGAAATTTCATCCTTATATAACATATAACACTTGTCTCTGTGGACCACTCTATAGGGAACCACAGCCCTACCCACAGGGAGAGGCAGCCAAAAGGCAGGTAACCAGCCTTTACCAACTACATTGCAAGGTCTGACAACCCCAGAGAGTGCCCATCAGTCTCACTTATCTTATTTTCTCTTAATCAGCATGAAGAGAGGAGTGTTGATTACTGAAGTGGTGGGTCTAGGATTAGAACCATGTCCTCTTCTGCTTCAGGATCCATCCTGTGTAAAGAGACACTAAAAGCTGGTCCAGGAACTCTGTGATCCTCTCCTGCAGTCTCTTGGCACCTACAGTCCACTTTGCTCACTCACTGAAAGTGTAAGTGGCTGTTTGTATCTGCAGCATCTGATGCTCTTGAACCAATAAGGAAGGTGGCTGGTTCCTGGGGAAGTCATTTTGGGAAAGGTGAGTTTTAGTATGAAATCTTGACATTTCTTAGTCCTCCTCTGAACACTGGCTGGAGGTCTGTGCATATCTAGGAGGGAGACCTTCCTGCATGTCTTGCAAAAAGGTTTCTGTGCCTGTCCAGTCCATGTAATTCATCAGAATTGGGAACCACCATGTCAGCATGGACCTTTATATTGCTCAAAAAGGCTTTGGAGTACAGGCACAGGGTCCAGGGAGGAAGGAAAATGCAAAGAGAAACTGTGTTACTGTTTTCCTGTCAGGGAAAAAAAAAAAAAAAAAAAAAAAAGGCAAAAAAATCGAGGCCTGATGAGGAGGGGAGTTCCTAAGTTGTGAAATAAGAGGCTTGGAAGCTATTTTGTGACTTGGAGAACGAAGGGGAATGATCAGCATCATGAACAGGAAAGGCACAGAACAGGCAGTGCCCCAGGCAAAAGGTATTTTCTATTCCTGGTGCTAAACTAGTATTAATGAAGAGCAAAGCCTGAATAAACCACTCAGACCTTCAGGGTCCAGACTGAGAAGGCTGCTTTAGCCCTATGCGCTTGCTTACACCTTCAAGTAACTGTTTTCTTTCTATTCTTGCATTGAACTAATTGCAAATACACAGTTTTGAAGGGGCTGGAGTTGCTTTTGTAGGCTTATGCTTGCCAGTGTGCACAGACCTGCTTGTAGCTGTCTTAATGTCTTAAAAACCTTATTTAAAATCTCAGTTTGAAAGTCAATGTATATTGGACACCCATATTCCCTACCCTCTTCAGAAAAGGGTGGAAAATTAAGCCAAAGAGCTCTGCAAGACCTAGACATATCATATTTCTTCCTTATAAAATGGCTGTACAAGAATGAAACAAGGCATGGAAATACTTTAGGAAGCAACATGTGGAATTTTTTTCCCAGAGATGGAATTTCTCTGGAATTCTCACTGTGATGCTTCCCCATTCACTTCCCTCTAACTCTGTCCACTGAAGAGGAGGAGCTCAGAGAGACAAAAAGCTTTGCCTTTGCCCCCCTCTGCTGCAGCCTGGACCCTGAAGGACTGGGTCCTTTGTAGTTCCCAGTGTGGCTTCTCCCCTGCTGCTCGCTCTGAGTGCTGCTGTCTAGCTAGTTATCTGCAGGTTTTAGCACTCTGTTTATTGTTAGTTCCACCAAATCTCCTGTATAATGTGAGTTTCCTCTGTTGCTATACAAGAAGAAAAGCTATATAAATTTGAGGTTTGTAGAAACCTGCTCTGTGATTGGCGATCTGTGTAATTGGTGGTGAGACCAATGGTAGTAGAGCTGAAAGTTTTCAGCTTTTTTGAGCAGTATGTTAGCTAAATCCCATATGCTCTTATAAAATCTAGCTTATTTTCCTGTCTCCTTTTAAGCACGTTTGTTCTAATTGTGATGCTGACCTTAATGTATGTATCACTTAATGCCATTCCTGCATTGAGTTCCTTCATTGCACTCTCAGGCCTTGACCAGTTTCATCCCACCTCCCAAAGAAATCTTCCTCCTGGACCTGCAGCACAGAGATCTTCAAAGAGGGAGGAAAAAGAAAGGAAAGAGCAAAATAAAACAGGACCATCAAGCAACATCAGTCTTGTGACACCCTTCCTCACAGCAGTCGCTTCTGTGATGTTGCATCATTTCTAAAAATAGAACTCAAGGTCCTTTGGGAAATGGCACTTGTATTTGTTCTGAAAAGTACGCTGTGTGTTTTGAGTCTTATTTTAAAAAGCCATGAACCAAGTAGAAGAATGGAGTGGGCTTTAAGATGCTTTATTTCCCTGTTCTCACATCTAGTCCTGCTTCTTAGTGGTGATAATGGACTTCAGAAGGTCCAAACAGCATTGTTCATTGCTCTTCAGAGCTAAAATAAAAGATGAAGGGAGATCGCAGGAAAGCAATACACCGTGAGACTGTGTGAGGGAGATTTGTACAGAAGCATGTTGTTTTCTCTAGCCACAGGTGCTTCTTGCCTCCTGGTAGCTTAAAGAAATAGAAAAATAATAGCACAAGTAATTAAATTCAGGGAAAACAGGCAGGACAGACTGATTGGAACAGTCTTTTGATGAAAAATCAAGGAAAATGACACAGGTAGGAGTGGAAAGTACAGTTCAAAGGAGTATGAGTTGCAGTAACAATTTAAAACAGCATCTCAGTTGCCTTCCTGGGTCAGACTGAGCTCTTCCGGTGCCTGGTATATTTCCAGAACTGACTCATAAAGACTCTTCAGAAGGAGTAAGATACTAAAACTAAAAGGTTTTATAAAATTTTAAATTAAATTTGATCTTTGAGAGTACTGAAGCAAAGGGCAAATTTTACAATATATGGGAGCCTAGTCAGCAAGGAGATGGTAAAAGATTTCACCTCCTGTAGCTGGCTGCATGGGCCATCTTCACTGCCTCAGGTAGGGTTGTGGCTGTGTTATTTTCTCAACTGTGGACTCAGATAAAGGTTTGGCTTCAGCTTCCTATCCTCAGCAGCTGTAAGTCTTCTTCAACTTCCATACAATTGCAATAAAACAAAAAAATCCCTGTGTTCGCACTCAGAAGGGAGGTACTGGAATGTGAAGTAACATGACAAAAAGCAGAAGAGGGGGATCAGAATTGACAGTGAAAGGCAAGTCCGCAGTCTGTGCTTTGCTCTTAAATTAAACTTTTCTTCATCTGGTCTTTCACTACTTGAGTAGCTTAATCTGGACAAATCCCATTTTATAATGTCTCCAAAATGATGCAGGAGGTGGATTATACGCTGGCCTAGGTTTTGTCATGCCAGGAACAGAGGGTGTGTGTGACCACACGGCCACCTCTGTGTAACAATCTGGAGCATGGTCACCGCATGGAGTGGCGCTGGTGTGGACTGATGCCTACCTGGTAAATTCACTCCTGAAGGATTTACAAGGGTAATTTTTGTGGCGTTCCTTTTCCACTTATGTGCTATAGAGGAACAGTTGACAAATTACGGTGGTAGGTGTAATGCTGATGTGAAAAAGCTCAGAAACTGTTTTGTTGGAATCTGTGAAATCCCTGGGGTTATTGAGAATTTCCTCTTCTGCTCCATTGGAATGGACTTGGAGAAACCACATCGTTAGCAGTATATCCTCTAATTTATGTATTAATTTTTGAGGTGCTGCATCATGTCCTTAGCTTGTTGAAGAACATACGTAAGTAAACCTTGACTGTAATTGTTTTAATTAGATTCAAGATGCATTTTTTCAGACGCAGCAGAGAAGCTGAGGGTCTCGGTTCCCTCTGTAGAAACTACACGTGTTTCAGGGCAAACTCGTGGCTCACCTTCCTTGGGCCGGGGACTTCAGAAGCGCGGCAGATGGCTGTCAAACCTGGCAGCCTGTATCAGTGTCATCCGTAAAACATTGAGGGCAAGTAGAGGGGAAGAAATGCGCCAGGTTTGAGGAGGCCCAAGGGGACGAGACAGAGGGGTCACCCGTGGGGGAGCGTCAAGGCAAGGCGCCGGTTAGGAGCGAGGGCGGCCAGCAGCGGCCCAGGGTGCGATGCTGGAGGAAAGGGGGGTGCCCAGCGCAAGTCGAGGCGGCGGGGCGCCGCGTCCCGGCGGCCATTTTGAAGAGGACAATACCCGCCGCACGGCAGAGGCCCGCTGCGCCCGGCGGGGCGGGGCGGGGCGCGCGCACGCAGCGCGGGCAGCTGCCGAGGGCGCGCGCACGCTCCGCCTCCCCGCCGCCGCGTTATGTAACGGCCCGGGGCGCGCGCGCGCCCTCCCTTCCCACCCCCGCCCCCCGCCGCTTGTCCCCGCCCCCCCTCTCCCCTCCCCCCGCCCGCCGGGGCCCAATGGGCGGCGAGGCCGCGCCGCGGGGGGGGCGGGGGAGAGCCCGGCGGACGGGGCGGGCGCGCGCACGCACGGGGGCAAGGCGCGGCCCCGCGGCAGTGCGTGCGCGCTCCCTTCCCCCCCCCGCCTTCCCCTCTCTCTCTCTCTCTCTCTCTCCCTCCTCTCTCTCTCCTCCGCCGCGCTCGGCCGCTTCTTCCCCCCCTTTGTGAGGCGCTCGGAGTGGCCCGGACATCGCTGACTCGCCATGGCCGACGAGAAGCCCAAGGTGAGGCAGGCGCCCTCCCGCCCTCTTCGCTTCCCTCCCTCGCCCCCCCCCCGCCGCCTCGCTTCACCCCTCAGGCGGCGGCGGGAGGCCGGGGCCCGGCCGGGAGCCCGGCCCCGGTCCGGCCAGCCAACGGCCTTGGCTCCGCCGCGCCGGCTTTGCGCGCCATTTTCCTGCGCACCCAGGCCGCGGCCGCTTTCCCGCCCTGCCGGGGGAGGGGGGCCGGGGCCGCAGCCTCCCGGGGCGGGCGGAGGATCCCCGGGGAGGGCGGCGGGGAAAGGGGGGGGCCGAGGGGGGCGAATCCGGGCTCCCTTCCCGCCCTCCTCAGGGAGAGAGGCAGGTCCGGAGGCGGTTGCTGCTGCTGCCTTCCTCCTCCTTCTCCTCCTCCTCTTTGCGGGGCCGGATCTGGCCTCCCCTGCACGGCTGGCGCTGGCTCGGGCGCAGCATCCCCGCTCGCAATCAGCTTTTCGCTGGGGCACTTGCCAGCCCCTTCCCGTGCGGTGCCGCTGGCAGGAGCACGCCGGGGCCTTTCTGCCGCGGGCGGGGCGGGCGCCCATCGCTCCCGGCCCCTTTTGTGCTGCCTCTCGCCCCAGCTCCCCTGGCCGCGGGAGGGGCCGCCCGGGGGGGCTCCTGCGGGCGGAGGGGAGCTTCGGGGAAAAAAAAAAAAAAAAACCCCAAAAAAAACAAAACACAAAAAATAAACAAGCAAACAAAAAAAAACACAGGGAAAAAAGAACCCCACAAACTAGCGAATGCCGCGCTGCCACCCTTCTCTTTTTTTTTTTTCTTTTTAAATTTTTTTTTTTTTTAATTTCCAAACACCACCCCACCCCCCCATTTTTAAACTGAATTTGAAGGCGCCAGAAGATAATAAACGGGGGCGGGCCGGTGTGCCGGGGCCTGGAGCGCGGCGGGCGGGGGAGCTGACACATGGCAGGGACCCGCACCCTGGCCGTGGCCATCCGACACCCTCGCCGCTTCCCTGGCCTCGGGTCGCTTCTCCTAAAGAAAACAAAGATGAAAACGCTGCTGGGCACCTCTGGAGAGGGCGCTGCCTAAGAGCTGGGTAGCATTGACTCTTCTCTTTGCCTCTGCTCTGATACTCTGCATCGTAACAGGAGCAATGGAGTTGAAAGTTGGTTTCTCTGCAGTTTCTGTATGTGGCTTCTAATGGAAGCGAGAGGATCTGGCTGCTTATTTAGGAGGGTTTTTTGAAGGAGAAAGCTTAGTTCTCAGGTTTTGTCACCTTTTCGGATACAGGCCTTTAAAGTGTCTTGAAGTTTTCTTCAGAAGTACCTCAACTGATATGAAAGAGTTTGAGATATACCAAGAAAGAGACTTGCTGGTGGTTGAGCTCATAGTTATAACGTAAATAACTATTTCTTTGATTTGGAACAGTAGCCTTGCATATTATTTTGCTTTTGATAGAAATAACTTTTTAATTTGTTGTAAAACAACTGGCCTAGTAAGTCTTCACTGCTACTTTGCATGTTAACCAATCTCAAGAATGACAACTAATACTAGTAAGGTTTAGGTGTTTTTTTGTGCGTGACTTTTTTTATTTGAAAAGCAAAAAGTACTGACTGACCTTTATTTCCTAATTCGAAGTTTCAAGTGGGTAAACAACTACAATATCTTCATTTCCTCCTTTTTAATGACCTGTTGCGCTTTGATAAAATGTTAACTTCTTGTTTCATACCTTTTGAAAAAGTGTTGTGTTTTTTGTTTTTTTTTTTTTCTTTCCTCAACAGGAAGGAGTGAAGACTGAAAACAATGACCACATTAATCTGAAGGTGGCAGGACAAGATGGGTCTGTGGTGCAGTTTAAGATTAAGAGGCATACACCACTTAGTAAACTAATGAAAGCCTATTGTGAACGACAGGTATGGTTCTTGTATGATCATCAGGAGAACCAGTCTCTGGGGGAGAGGTGATCTCCATAGAGATAGATGAAGGCAGTAAAGTCTTAAAACTGTGTAAATGTGCAAAATGATAAAGATTTAACAGAAACTAATTGTGTTGTGGAAAGTCTCTTGTTTTTAGGATCTGTTATAGATTGGCCTAAGGGGGTTGTGACAGGAAATGGGTAAAATGAAGATCCGTTGTTATCTTTGTGAAATCTGCATTATAGGTGTAGACTGTTGGGAGGCAACTTACTCTACTGCTCAGAAATATCAGTATGGAAAGGGTGGGTTAGGAACCTGTGGTATGAATTTAGGATAGAGAGTTGAGTGATAATCAGAGGTATTTTTATAATTTGGAGTAACTATTTGGTCTGGTCATAGACTTGTGATTTATTGTATTGCTGTATTAAGATGAGAACATCAGTGAGTATTTTAGGGATTAAAAGCATCTAATATCTAGCTTGAGAAGGAACTTGTACATTTAATGTTGAGCTTTGTTTTTTTTTCTTGTGGCCTAGTAGTCGAATCAATCCTCTGAGGACAAAAAAATGTATTTTGCTAGCGTAGTAGCAACTGCACCCAGCCTGTTAGGTTGCAGGCAGCTATTGCAAGTTTTAAAAACACCTGTGTAAGAATAGTGCTATTTAACACTTTCTTCTGAAGCTTTTGATTATGAAAATTTTGTCTCTGCTGTCCATGATTTTTTTTTTAATGAGTGTCTGCCTTTAAAAAGTTCCATCTCTACAAAAATGTTTATAACTGGGAAGGTTGTTTTTTCAACACAGATATGCAGTGATACTATCAAATACAATAAAATCAGTATAAAATATTGAGGTAATTATTTCACCACCAGGAGAAACAAAACACCAGTTCACATAGAGTGGTAAAACCTCTTTGGTTTACCCTTGGCTACAATAGGATAGTGAGACAAATAAAGACAAGGAAAATCAGTTCTTACGGAAAACATGAATATGTTCTTGTATGGGTATTCTGGGGATAAATTAGTGAATGTCTGAGGCTGTGAGCTCATTTTCCCTACCTCTGTCATACAAATTAATGTTATAGTATATAAATCATTGTGTATTGCTTTTTCCAAACACAAAGTGCAGTTATATCTGTCTTTTGGGGAGTTGGAGGGTTGGTTAATTGTTTGTCAAGTCCTGGGAAATATGATTTTAGAAGTACCATTTCTACTTCAGTTACTTGGATACGAACGGAAGTAAGATTCTAAAACTTTTCACCTAAATTTCTAATCTGGTTTAAAAAACCAAAAACCCCCAGGTGTCAGTGGGAGTGAAACAAAATCTTTAGAATGGGAGGCATTTTTTCTGATTTCAGTTTTAAGCTAGTAGGTGTCCAAAGGATATTTCTGTGGAGATGGACTTGTCTTGAAATTTTGTTTCTTAGGTGCTTACTTCTCAAACTTTGTGTAAAAGCATTTGTTCTGTGTATCTCTAAAAGTTAGGTTTTGTTTGTGTTCCTAACTAGGAATACCCGACCTTAAAATCTTTAAGCTGTGGACTTTAGATTTAAATTTGGAGAGGTGGAAGCTGTGTATAGTAGAGAATTTAGAAACTTTTAAGAATGAAAATCACGTATTGCATATAGTAGACCTAAAATGGAAGTAATTTAACTTTGAATTATATGTTTAGAAGATGAAAGCTATTTGCAGTGGCTTTAAGTGGGAAAAAATCATCCATGGAATATACCTAGTTGTTGTGGATACTAATCTCACCAAGGTTCAGTTTTTCAGAATGTTTTCAGCTCATAAAGTTGTCAGGAACCTGCAAAAAAACAACACTTTTTGAATAGAAATTATATATTTTAAGAAACACAATGTTGGAGAAAACGGTTCAAACCAAATGTTGCTGTGCAAAAATGTGTTGCTGCCATGACACTTAGCCACATGGTTTTCTTAAAGAAGATGATGTTCTGAGTGAACACTGCAGAATCTTAGTCACACTAGAGAAGGCATTTTGCTGTGAACTATAAAGTCTTACCAAGAAGTTTACTCATTCTTTATTAAAATATTTTTCCTGACAAATCAACTTCTCAAAAATAATTACTACACTAAGTTTTCTTTTGTGTGTTACATTTGCTCTTGCAAGGCTAAATGAAGGCTTCTTTTCTAATTCAGAGATGCCAGAGCAGCACCATGGATTACATTGGATTTACTTCAAAACCAACTAGACTTCTTGTATTTTTAGATACTCTGTAGAGAGTGGATAGAACTGGGAAAGAAGTAGACACCAAGGTTCTTCATTCTGGTCGTATCCTCAAACTTCATTAATCTTCTGCAGAATGTATTGTGCTGTAGAATACCTTTGAAAACTAACTTGTGAATTTGAAGCTTATGTTAGTAGAAAGGATTGCTGCTATTTAGTTATCTTTTTCAATCTGTTAGCTCAAGTGAGAATGACTAGTATTCTGAGGATGGAAGAGGATCAGCAAAATTACTATTGTGTTGTAGAAATGCTAGTTCAAAATACTATTCAGTAGTGTCTGGAAGTAGAAGGTTCCTTTCGTTTTTTCTTGAAAGTTCCGTCTGTGCATGGAAAAACTTTGATCCATTGATTTCTTGTTAATAGGTACTCAAGGTCAAAAAGTTACCACTGCCTACTCTTTGCTGCTGCAGACTAATAGATGGTGGTTGCATTTCTGGAAACAATACTTTAGAATACCTTTGCTTTTGGGGAAGATTAAAAAGGAGTGCTGAATATTACTGTTTGGCATTTGTTACCCAAAGTGCTGCATCTAATTTTCAAGTGAAATATTGTTAAAAGCACTATAAAAATCCTGGCCTTTGGGGTGAGACTTGTGTACTAGAAATTGCTTTATTTTAAATTACAGTCAGTGGGGGCACTGTTGCTTCTCTTAGTTATTGGACACAATGCAATTTTTAATACAAAACAGATTGCAAGGATTTGTAGTGAAATGCCTTAAAGTCAGTGCATGAGGGAGTACGAAAACTGTATCACGCATTATGAATGGTGGTTTTTAATGACCACACTGCAATTCCAGTGACAAGTTTGTGAGAAAACTAGTGAGTACTTTTACACCAGACTTATTTCCCTTTGTTACTTCTCTTTGTCCAGGGGTTGTCAATGAGGCAAATCAGATTCCGGTTCGATGGGCAGCCAATTAATGAAACAGACACACCTGCACAGGTAAACAGCAGAAGCAAGAGCTGTATTTGAAATTTGCTTCAGGAGTTGATGCTTCTGTTTCACATAAAATACATGTGTAACTATGTATATTAGTGATAGAACTTGATCTTCTTTTACCATTATTTTGGCATGACTAGTTCAAAACTATTGGAAATGGAATCTAAGACTTTAGTGTTTTGAATAATAAGTCTGTATCACTCTTGTAATAAAATAAGAAAATGAAGTACAGTGTACAGATGGTGAAACTGTCACTTTATTGAGTCACGGTTCTGAGATAGGAATTGGTAAGTTAAGAACTGAGTTTTTCCTGAAGTGGTGGCTTTATTTTTTTTACAAAAGCTTGCCAGGATGTTATCAGAGATCCTGTTTTCAAACCTGCATTTGTAATAAGAAAGTAATTTTATGTTATTTGTAATTTGAAGCTCTTTTTCAGCAGCATAAAAGTAATGAATAATGTGAAGTTTGGGTTGTCTGTAAGTGGTTAAAATGAACACCATTCCAAGAACAGAATAGTTCACTGTGACTTCAGTATTTTTCTGGACTGCTCCACGTAGCTGTATTCAATCAGCCTTTCCAAGTGATACAGTTTTATATGCTTTTCAGAACCACTTGTTACGAAATAAGAGACTCCTGGTTTTAGATGTATAGTACATCTGTATTCCAAGCAGTAGCTCCAAAGAATGTGCCTCTTACGGCCACAATCTATGCAACTTTTTAACCTGGAATACTGATAATTGAGGCAAGAGGGTGCATTTTTCTCCAACCGTGTTATGCTGAAGCTAAGGATCAGTCTATTTATAGCTGCAGTAAATGCCATAGACCGGTTTGATTTCCTGGAGCAGAAATTGCGACTGTTTAGAAATACAACTTATATTAGGTATAGCAACTCCTTCAATCTTGGTACAGATTTTGTCAGTGGGTAGCATAAACATCCTAGGAATATCAACTGTAAAAATTATGGTGAAAAATTAATGCAGTATTGCTGTTCTTCACTGGCAGTTTGTTACATGGGTGACCATGTAAAGTGTCTTTAATTTTTTTTTGTGCTTGCTGGTGCTTGGTTTTACTGCCTGGTTGTGCTAGGGGCCTTAATTATAGTCTACTTTCTTTAATGCTGTAGCTGAAACCATTTGCATATCTGAACAGCAGCAGCAAGGTAGAATTGTGACCGTGTTCTGAGGTAGACTGAGGAAGTAAATAGGAGAAAGAAGATGCAATGGCAAAATAGGCAACAGAAGTAAAATATTATGAATGCCAATCTTTTCCATAGGAGTCGTACAATGCACCCTGAAGTTACATACTAGAATTCATTCTAGGACAACAGTTATCAAATGGCATTTTTTTTCCCATGTAATTTCTTTGCTTTTGCATTACAGTGAGATAGGTTAAATGTACAAAGTCATGATGATGGAGGGGAGCGGGGATGGTCTGGTTAAGTGTCGTAAAATGTAAACATGAAGATAGGAAATGTAAGTACAACCCAGCCTTTAGTAGATATCTGAGAAGAGTTGAAAGCCTTTTTTCTCTTTTCTGCTATAGTTGGAAATGGAGGATGAAGATACAATTGATGTGTTCCAGCAGCAAACAGGAGGAGTTTACTAAAAAAACAAAACAAACAAACACACAAAAAAAGAACCTGCTACTTTCCTCTCCAGAACTGTGCTCCCACAGGCGACACATTCACAATTAGAAAAATGAGACTTGGTTCAGCCACATCCTGACTACTGCAGTATAGTTTTCTCTCTTCTCTCTCTGATTTTTTTTTTCCTATTCCTTCTCTTGTACATAAAGTAACTGGTGTATGTGCACAGACATAATGCATATTTTTTTTAACTAAATGGCCAATGGTATGTTTTGATCAACATTTAATGGAGATGGGGTGGGAAAACAAACTGGTTCTGTGAAAATGCCCCTTTCTCCATTAGTGGCATGCTCCGTCTACTTTTATCTTTATATTCCAGTAAGTTATTTTGCTCTCACTGTTAAAAAAACAAAAACCTTGCATACCTTGTTTGATTGGATAATTTCAATGTTTTTCTTTTATCATTGTAAAACCAAGGACAATTTTATAACTTTTTTGTACGTAGCTGTTACATGTAGAGCAATTTCTGTCTAAGTAGGGGTAAATTACTCTTAAAAAAAAAAAAAAATCCTAGATAGTTTTCCCTTCAAGTAAAGCGTCTTGTTGTTTAAATAAACTTCTTGTTTAAAATAACCAGTTTTCTTTATTTTTCTGTGGAGTAATAGTACTCAGCACTTGTATTTCTTTCTCTGCAGCACTTCATGCTTCTCAATTCTCAGCTTTCTATGTGGTAAGTAAGCATAATCCCCCTTTTACAATCAGAAGACTGTTAGAAATTAAAGGCTTCCTTGAGGCATCTCAGTCAGGCAGTAGTTGAACTGGAAATATAAGTCAGTTTTGTCTTTAGATTTTTTTGTGTGTGTGTGTGTGTGTGTGTGTGATCTGCTTAGCCAAAAATGTTTGATTAGGCAAACTGCAAAATACTGGACTACTTAACGCTTTTGAGTTGAGCTCTTTTTGTCAGTCTTTAATAGAAACATCAATATTGTTGTTATAGTAGCTTATTTAAAACTGTATTTCAGTGCTTGTTGATGTAAACATTAAGTTAAAAAGAGCAAATAATTTCATTAACAATTCAGTTTACAATAATATCAAATGGGAGATGCTTGGAAATGTAAAGCAAAAATAAACAACTGAGTTCTGGTTTTGGGTGTATTTAGCTATGGTGGTGTAGATTCTCAGGTTTGCTTTGGCATTGTGGTGTTACTGCTTGAAAGGGGAAGAGGCTTGAAGTACTAAAGGGAGCTAGTGACAATAAATTTTTTCATGAGTCTTTTCCACAAGGCTGTTTGTTCCTGAGTTTTCTCATGGGGAAGTTTACAGGTTGCGGTGAAATCCGTGGACGTTCATGAAAGATTATATACCTGTCTATTCAGCAGCCCCAAAGTATTCTCTGATATCCTAGGAATGTTCTGATATTCTGCAGTGTTTGCAGTGAGTTAATGCTCTTTTAGCAGAGCTCGCTTTTCGGTGGTAGTTTTTGTAATAGTTAATTAAATAAGTGATTATTAAATGCTAGGCCTGTGCTTGCTAGATCTGAGATTCTTTAACTTTGTGGCAGAATGATGGGTCTGTGCAATTAGCTGATGGACAATGATCTATTTGACTTCTGTCACAATTTTAGCATGTTTGATACTACATTAATTACATCTAATGGGGATGTAAGAAAAATATCTGCTTTTGCAGTTGCTTTTGACTATGTAGCTGAATAATGTACTCTACTGTATGCCATTGTTTTAATTCTAGGAAATTCTACTGCTAAGCAGATCATTTCTTATTCTGGTATGTTATCTTGTAGATTTCTGTGGTATATTGCAAGATTGGAATTCCCTCTTGTGAACAAATGTTTTCATATCCAAACCCACAAAGGCCTGGAAAAATTTTTTTGGGGAAAAAAAAAAAGGGATGATGGGAATATATTACAACACCTTTCATAGGCTAGACATGGAATACATTGCGCTCTGGCTTTAGAATCTCTGGCTTTCAACCTGGCTAGACTTTTGATAACAGTGTATAAGATTCTTTCAACTTGATGTCATGCCAAGACTTTTCCCAGGAGAAAGCTGTCTTTATCTTGTTTGGCCAAAAAAAGTGTTTAGACTTGCTTTGGTTTCTGAAGAAAGGGTGAGGTTCTCTTTAAATACAGGGTTTCTTCAGCCCAACTTAGGACTGTGAAGTTCAAAACTCCCTGTTGTATCTTGCCTACTATTTTTTTTTTCCTGAGGCAGTGTAAGTCAAGTGACAGGTACTGAACAGCATGCTTTCAAAACCAGTGTCTTAATTTTCTGAATTAGTAGAGTGGTACTTCATCTGTCATGAACTTACGTGCAGGATTCTTGTAATGTAATGTTCCATTAATAAAATGAGACCACTTAACTTGAATTTTGATTAGCTTACCAAAATTCCCCTGTGCAAAAATGAAAACCATAGGCTTTTTTTACCTTTGAGTTGCTGTGACAGCTTTGGAAAAACACCTTAATTCAGCATAAATTGAAGTTTCCTCTAGTATTTACCAGCAGGCTATTAAAAAAAATGGAGAGGCATTGATCACCTAAACTTCATTTCTAACGTCTTTCTGCTATTCACCTGAACTTGCTTTTCATATTTCTGAAATAATTTCTCTGACAGTGCTGAATGATATTTATGTAAGATGGTGACTGCAATCAAACTGATAAAATGGTCTTTTGTGAGAGGTGTTTCCTTGATAAAAATCAAGAAACACTCAGGCATCTTAGGTGGCTTAGTTCCTTAAAAGCCTCAAACATTTAATTTCCATTAATCTAGCAAATTAAGTGGACCGTCACATTCTGTTGCATAGCATTTGTGTACACAGCAGTGTAGAAATACTAACCTGTTTTCTAAAAAAATAGTTTTTAAAAACTCTTCCTGCATGGTCTTGCAAATACTCTCCTTATGACAGAACTTGTTGCTTGTTGGTACTGCTCCTCTGCCACTTACAGAATTTATCTGTTGATTCCTGTTTTCTGGGAACTAAGTGGTTTTGCTGTGACTTCATCTTTGCTAAGAAAGCTACTGCTCGGGGTGATGATTCAGAAGTGGTATGAAGTACAGGCATATAAACAATTTGGATCAGTTATTTGGAATTCACTTAGCTGTTTGGCATGGCTTGATTTGTAACAGTTCTCGTGTTCACACTGGTAGCCTAATGGACTACTAGAAGTCCACGTGTCGGAGGATGAAGGATGACTGGGCAAAGAGGTCTTGTCAAGCTAGTTGGGAGGTAAGTTTTTCATGTTTATTAAACAGCTGGGATCCTTCATGATCCTGGACAGGTTATATTATTACCCATGATTTTCAAATAATGTATTCTAAAGTGATTGCCATGCAATTTAGGTAATACTCTTTTCATGGTTTGTAAATTAAAAAGAACGGAGTAAGTCATAACTGGATACAATACTCTAGGAAGTTCTTGTGGATGATAAGACCTTGCCTTTGGAGTACGCTAAGTCTTTAGTCCCTCAAACAGTTTCAGTTTCGATTGTGGAATGGACGTGACCAATTATTCAAAAAGATGTAACCAAAACTGTTTGTTTCAGGCATCTAAAGTAAGGCATTTTTATTCATGTGCAGGGGTGGATAATGACAGATTGAAAGCACAGCTGATTTTGGTGGCACCCTTAGTTAACAACCAAGGCACTGATTTTCAGGTATCTGCACAATGGGGGATAAGACCCATTTAATTGGGCTCTTGTGAGGATCAATATTACATGGCCTGAGATGCTGGTTCAGAAGGAGTTCTGAGAGTGCAAGGCTGTTCTGAAATGGAATATGCTAAACTGCCAAGAGTGTAAGGTAATACTCCAAGTGGTAATCTGAGAGATTCTTTTACTGACATATGGAGGTGTTCTCAACAGAACAAAAATTCCTGAAGTAGTACTAAGATAACTACAGTATCAAAATAGGTGCAGCATCTCTGCAAAGGTTATGGTCAAAGCAAGATTATTTTCTTGCGAGAACATTGGTTTCTAGTACCTTCACTTCATTACTTCCAAGTCAGACAATGTAATGTAAGTGGTGCAGTTTTGTGTGTTGGATACCGGTTCTATTGTGACCGTTACTGCAACATTAATGAAAAGGTATAATGTGACTGGCTCAAAGAAAGAATACTTTCTATGCTTTGGCCAGTTGGAAAGAATTGAATTTCTAAGGAATAGGAATTTGTTTTCAAAGCTAAAAATGAAAAACTAGATGCTTCCATCATCATCTATTAAATTGAAAGTGAACAATAAATTGAATAATTTTTATTAGGAGTTTTAGAATGTGACCTTGGTACACTTGCATCAGCCGGTGTGATGGAGTGTTGAGTACTAAAAGAAAATCTAAGAACATTTAAATTTCTTGGATTATTCTTAATTATATTACCACTGTAATTAATACATTTCACTGTCTGGATTATTGAGGTTTGTTCATTGTGGCTATTAACTAGTTGCCAAGCTGAATGTGTTCTGATAGCAAATATTTAATCCTCTCACTTATCTTGCTTTTTTGTACTTGGTGTCAGAATGAATTGGTAGAACAGCACTTCTTCCTGGTGGTTACAATGTAGGAGTGTGAGGGTATACAGGAAATGGAAGACTAGATTTTAATCCCCATTTTTTTAGTTTTTGGTTGGCCTTCGAGATGCTTAATTACAGAGGTTTCCTGGTTTCTTCACTAGTAGCATGGGACTAATAGTCCTACTCTAACATGGAGATGCTGGGAGGCCCAGCTGGTGTTTATTAAATGGTTTGAGTCCCTTAGGGGAAAACTCTTCCTTTCAATCCCGGAAGAATTTCCATTTATGCAGGTGGGACGAGGTAGGGCTGGTGGTGCTATGAAGGAAGTGACTTGCTGTCAACAGAGATCCTAGAAGTAATGAGTGTCAGTGGGTGCTGTAGAAAGACAAGTCTGTGAGTTGGTGAGGAGCTGCAGGGGGAATGGGGACTATGGGAAGAGCCGTAGCTGTTAACAATCCTGATACCAGGATGACTTTGGAGTGCTGGGGAAAGGCTAAGGTTGTGGAAGCCCAAAGAAATAGTAAATAGATTGTTTCTCCTTGGGAAAGGAATATTCTCCAGGGGAACATGGAAACAAGGAATACCCCTTTGTGATGAATTTTTTGCTGGTTTTGGTGACTTAGATTCCCCCCCCTTTCAACATCCAGTCTGTAGATGTTATTAAAGCGTATCTGATGCCCTGCAAGGGCTCTTGAAGGATCACTTGATTAAGAAAACATCATGGTTTAAGCAAACTCGGACAAGACAAAAGTGGAATGAAAGGAGCTCTTTGAGGACTCTCTCAGGACTCAGACTTTCCTTTCCAGTGATGCTTGTCTTTTTTTCTACTAAGGAACAATGCTTTGGAGTACACTGCCAGACTTGGTAATGCTGGATGCCCAGACAAGAACAACAGCATGAATTGGCCGCTCTGTTTATGTTGTTCAGAACTACATCTCTGCAGCTTTGAGAGGAGTCTGGACATTGTGATTCAAACTTTCTTTCCAAACAGTAACTTACTGTTACGAACTTTACCTGAAGATGTAGAGAAGCACCAGAGCAACTTTCACAACTCTTGCAAATTACAGCATCTGCTCAGTAGGACAAACTTGAATCTGTAGGGTTCCAGGCTTCCAC